TTTATGATGTTGCTTTCCATCCCTCAAAAGCATATATTGCCAGTGCAGGAGCTGATGCCCTTGCCAAAGTATTTGTGTGAATCAGTGAAAACTGACATCATAGCAAAAGATTTGCTTGGACAGAAAAAGGCTCTGCATCACTGCCATCGGAAAAGGTTACTGATTCGACACTACATGCAATCCGCCTGCTGACGGCTATCTGGGGCAGGTATAAGTTGGTGGAAATCACATTTTACTGTCTGGCTTGTTAATTTAACTCTAATTACTATATTTCATGGGACAAAAGGAAAAAAGGACTCCAGTATTTGTAACCTGTACTGGATATAAACTGAGCATATGTTTTTGTTGTGTGTGTGTGTGTGTGTGTGTGTGTGTGTGTGTGTGTGAGTGTGTGTGTGTGTGTGTGTTGGTTTTGTTTTGTTTTCAAAGATGTCTTTAAACCAATGTGGAGTCTGATCTTACAAAAAGACTTTCTTTTGGATTGTGTGCTGCCTTAGGGTTAGGAATGTGGTGCTCTTGTTGGGGGAAGTGAGCTCTAAGAGTAGCTGTTTCTCATCTCTTAGTGATCCTCTGTTTATCAGTTGAATGCCACAGATTCCCTTTTAAACTTATTTTGCTTTAAAAAAGAAAAAAAGGAAAAAGAAAATTTAACTTAAAATATTTTAGCATTAGTTGCACAAAATGTTTGGATAAAATTCTAGTTTTTATAAGTCTTTTTATATATTTAGCCTGTCACTACAGTGCTCAAGATTGTATCGACGTTTTCTGCATTCTACACCCTCAGAGAACTCGCTGACCCACTGCCCTGTAACCACTTACTTTCCTCCTTTTGCCTGATACAGCTCAGCTAAGTCCTTCCATAAAGATGCTAAATTACCTTCAACATTATATAAATGTCTTCATAAACCAAGGACTATTGAGTGTATTAATATGAAGCAGTGGAGTTTAATACTCCAAAGGAACTCTTTAAAAGAAAAAAACTAATCTTGGCATCCTATCACTATGTGATATTTTGTACATCTTACTGTATTTACAAGTTTATTTATCAAGGATTATCCATCTTGCTAATGACCTATTATTTATTTCACTTTTTGTTGGTCTTTATATCCTTTTATTAATGTGCTAAAGGAACCTGTATATCTATTTTGGAACTCTTTGAATAGTCTAAAATAGACTAAAAATGGAGTATTTTATAGCTTAAGTTACAAACCAAGGTGATTCTCCCCAAGATATGTATCTTGGTTCACCATGATTCCAGACAAAATGATCTTGTTTAAAAATATTTGGAGTAAAATTTTATTTGCATTACAAATAGGGTACAAAAAATAGTTGAATCAGGATACAGAAATCTGTTTAGACTAGTTTTTCCCTGTTTTATTTTTTTAGATGTGCTTAATTTTATGGTGTGACTAAAGATTTTGTTTGTGTAATGCATGATTAAGACAATAAAGTATTTTTTCTAGTCTTCCAAAAAACTTTTCTGATCAGTTTGCAAGTTTTGATGAGTTTTGTAAGGTTTCTGTTTTACAGCGTATGAATCATCCAGTTTTTAAGATTGTACCACATAGCAAACATACAGCTGTTGAAAATGATGTACATAAAATGCATATAATAAATATTAAATTGTGTACCTGTATGTTACTGTTGGCTACATCATTTTGTGTTGAATAATAAAGTGCAATACTTTACTCTCCATAATTAAACTAGGAAATGGAGATGATCTCTTAGTGAGTCCTTCATTTTTATACTTATTTTTGTACGGTTTATTGCATATTTATATTCTAGTAATATTATAACAATAATAATACTAAAATGCCTTTCTATTTTTACTCCATTTTGGGGAATTTTTAAAGTATTCTATTAAAATAAACTAGATAATTCAAAGTAAAACATCTCTCCTCCCTCCTCCCGCCTGCCCACCAAAGATGTAGAGATGCAGTTTGAAGTACTCTTCTTCGACATATTGTTACTTTACTAAATCTGGACTTTAATTAATAGTAGTGGTCAGCCGCTGTAACCACAACTTTCCATAGAAAACTTCAGCAGAGAATAAACTGCATCATTTATTAGAGTTGTCATAACTAACCAGTTATTTTGTTGAAACCTTTTACTGCAATAGGTAGCGTCACCTTTTTTCTTTAAAGGGAATCCCACATGGACTCAAAGCACCATAAAAATTATGTGCAAAATTCTGTTTGAATACCTGTTGCTGCTTTAGAAGAAGTTACTCTGTACAGTGAGAAATTTTGTCATCTAACATAGAAATCCAAGTAACAATCAGTCATTGCTAAGGAAACAGTAAAGCTTCTCAGAACATTTTTTTGTTATTTTTACAAGTTTTTTCTGAACTGAACACTCAAATAAGGAACAAAGTAAAGGGACACTTTCCTCATTATCTTTTTTTAAACTTGAAAACATTTTAAAAACTTTTCCAAAGCTGGTATTGTTGCTGGCGGCTATTCCAACCCATTGCATTATTGTTTAGTGAAATGTGATTATCACTGCAATGCATAAAGTTTCACTTCTCTTGGAATGTATTAAAACTGAAATGGATAAAAATAGTATATATGTTTATTTTTTGCTTACCCACTTTGGTTGTATTTTTCTCTACAAAATTAAACATTTGGAAAAGACTAAAGGGATGCAAAAAATGTCTTATTTTCATACTATTTGTATGCTTCAACTTGTTATTTATGGTAAATTATGTAGATTAATTTGATTATTAAATATACTTTATACATAAGGCTTAAGGATATTTTTATCTACAAATGTTAGTTACTTATTCTCAATATGTAATTATATTCTTCTTTCATGTTTTACTCCTGTTACTTTTCTCTATTTCAAACTGAATAATCCACTGAAGACCAGTAGCTTGTTTAATGCATGAAAAATCATAAGTCAGTGTATAATCTTTGTCTAGCACTTAAGATAACTGTTTTCCATCTTGGAGTACTTGGGTTTGCTTCCTGGCTCCAACTTCCTGCTGGTGTCCATCCCGGGAGGCAGCGATGATAACTAACTGGGTTCCTATGGCCCATGTGGAGGACCTGGATTTTGTTCTGACTCCTGTTTTCAGCCTTGGCTATTTGTGGGATCTCACATTTCCCCCTCCCCCCAAGGAAATGTAAAATCTATAAGCAAGCTATTGTATTTGAAATTCGGGTATGCCTGCTAAAACTATATATTTTTAATTTTAAAGGCAGATTTTACAGAGACAGAGGGAGGTTTTCTGTCACCTAGTCACTCCCCAGTTGGCTGCAATGGCCAGAGCTGAGCCTCTCGGAAGCCAGGAGCTGCTCTTTGGTCTGCTAACGTGGATGCTGTGGCACAAGGACTTGAACCTCATTTCACTGCCTTCCCGGGTAGCTGGGCCGCAAACCAAACAGCCAGCACAAGAACCAGCAGCACCCATGTGGGATGCCAGCACCACAGGCAGTGGCTTAGCTCTTAAAACTTGATTGTCTTAAAAAAAGACAATTCCCCCTTTAGTTGTTAACTCATACTGATTATTTACTCATAAAAATTACTTGGAGTAGCTTGAACTTGATTTCCTTTCCTCAAGCCAATGAAAGTATTGATTTTCCTGGTTACCTTAGACACCTAAAAACTATGCTTTGGGGCTGGTGTGATGGCTCAACTGGTACCTTCACATGCCAGCATCTCGTATGGGCGCCAGTTCATATCCTGGCTGTTCCACTTCCTATCTAAATCCCTGCTTGTGGCCCGGGAAGTTAGTGGAGGATGGCCCCAATGCCTTGGGACCCAGCTCCTTTGGGGAAATCCGGAAGAAGCTCCTGGCTCCAGATCAACTCAGCTCTGGCTGCAGTCATTTGGGGAGTGAACCAACAGATCTTTTGTTTGTCTCTCCTCTCTGTGAATCTGCCTTTCCAGTTAAAATAAATAAATCTTGGGGGGGGGGGTAGGGAGGAACTCTATCCTTTATAAAATTATAAATTAAAAGGCCTAATTTCAGAAAGCTGGGTTTTCATTAAAGGTTAGTTTCTTATTAAGGGATGGTACAACTAGCTGAAAATTTGTGTTCTGTTACTGTCAGGGAGATCAGATTCCAATGAAACCTTGTTAGATGAAAAAACATTTACATTTTTTATGAAGAGGAGAAAAGGGAGGTTATTTCATCAGTTCCATCAAAATTATTGCTGTCAAAGGCAATACTAGTTTTGCCCTTTTTTAAGCCAGCTCTGGACATTTTCAGGTAACATGAGTAACATGTTTGAAGAGAGGGTATGGTACGCAGATGAGACTGGGGTGGCAGGAGACACAGCCTCTCTAAGGCAGGCAGGCAAGATGGACTGAGGAAGACTTGGCGAGCCAGTCACCCACGGCTTGTCGGGAGTTTCAGAGTTGTTTCGTCAGTGTTTATAATCTGAACAGTGGACATTCATTTACTGAAAAAAATTATGCTTAGTTTTGTGTAGGGTTAAAAAGATTCAGATTAGTGTTTCCATGAATTAAAACATACTAAAAGTTTTTCTGTATCCTGGGAATTCTAGCAATTGTAAATAAAGCATCTTAGAATTAATAGTTACTAGCAGTTTTATTGCTTGAAAATTCCAATTACAATTTTTCCCCTGTAGGTCTATTATTTAAAATGTATCTTTTAAAGGTATACGCATCGAGTAAAGCCGTTAACAATTGTTTTCCTGTTTGGATGACTTTTAAGTACAAGCCACATATATCTATATACATACGAAAGTAAGGATATAAACGGAAAGATGATTAGCAATCCTGCTCTCTCATGTGGTGTTTTTGATCATGAGTTATGAAAACAGACCACAACAGCTGGGATTGGCAGCTTGACACATATTCCTTTTCATAGCACAGCATCCACACTTACCAAGCTTCAGTATGTGAAGTAACAGTATCTACTGTTAGTTTTGAGAAAATATCCACTTGGGCCAACATTTAAACTATGTTAAAGAGCTGTTAAAATGTTCTGATTTTTCTTAAGGAGTCAATATAGAATGATTAACGGCAGGAAATTTGCTTTTGGTCTAAGTACCAGGTTTCTTTTATTGAGCTATGGGATTTGCATATTTATACATTTAATAGGCATCTGAGTACTGGTTAGGACCTTAATCCACAATATTTCCTCTCCTGAGTCTGTCATGATTATGAAGCCACAGCAGAGCCTTTCTAACAGTTATAATTAGAAAGCAGTAGCTTTAAATGAATGCTTATGTGCTTAAAATAGCTGTTGACTTCTTCAATAGTTTTGTATCTGACCCTAGTATGCTACAGTATTTCAGTATTACGTGAATACAATTTATACATTAGGTCCTCTTGCACTTTTTCTTTCAGTTGTCAAAATGTTACTATTATTGCTGGGATTCTAAGAAATCTCTACAAATGCCTCTAATGACATCAGAAACAATCGGTTCTAGTCCTGTGAACTCTCTTGTGAAGAAGGCGTGTGATTCCTTTGGTTTGGAGGCCATGTCTTTCAGGTCATCCAGAGGAGCCCAAGCCACTCCTACTGAAAAGATGGTGATTCCTGCAATGGAAATATTTTTCAATGAATTAAAACCAGTTCCAGCTTACATCAAAAGGATGTGTATATATATTATTTCTGTATTAGCACAGAGTCACAAAGAAAACTGCTCAGTAATATCTTAAGAATTAAATCCTCTGTACTGCATTTTAGGTTTTTACAGTCCTGGTATCCAAAGTAGCTCAGCTGTTTGGTCAAAACCAGCAACTCTACCATCACAGAAACATAGAAATTATATGTTCACTGTCAGAAAGTATTTGAGTTCAGTATAATCTATGAGAGAATGCACCTAGCAAGGTAGTAATTTTGAACCCGACACAGTACTCTGACAAAGATGTTGCAGCAAACCTACATGATGAAAATGTCCCCATTTGAGATAAGCAGGAAATCTTCCTGCCTATCACTGCAATTAAACACTGTGGTACAGCAACCAGTTACAGAAGGATACACTGTCTCAGGAATGTGGGCTAGGCCCCATATGGATCATAATCTAAACACTTCCCATTTTAATCACCCAACAATCTGAAGTGGTCTGTTTCCAACGCAAAAATCTGATGCTCATGCATTGTAACTGGATTGTCTCAAGTTAGAAGAAGTCTTTCAGTACAACTGCATTTTGCCCAGGGTGGTATTATCACTAGCTGGATTCACTGCAATCCCAATCTTCAAACTGCTGGAGGAAATTCCTTTTAACTTTCTGTTTCTGAAACAGCTACTTCTCCACTACCACAGATACATTCCCCTTTGGGAAATGTGCAGTGACTCAAGTTGTGAATTTAAGTGATGTAAATCTACTTGAAACAGTTCCTATTCACCTCCACACTTGCCCCCGACACAAAAATGTATTTTCCTTCCTAAATACCCCCCCTCCGCCTCATTTTTCAAGTCTTCTGATTCACCTAGTTCAGCTCACGCCAACATTGTAACAATCAGTTACGACCTTGCCCTAAACACCCACCCTGCTTTTTGGCTTTGCTAACTTTTTGCTACCACTAAGGGATAATTTCCAAGAAACTTACTGTGGTCCCAACCTCCTGAAGTTGAATCACAGAAAATATTTGTCACTTTGGCCTGAATACAATCCTGGTGACTGTGTATCAGTTTTAAGGCTATGACAGTAAGCAGATCTTCACTGATGCATACAAAACACTCCAGAAAAAAACAGCTTAAATTACTATATGAATTCTCTTTCCTACTTAATGAAAACAGTATTTCTTTAATAATTATAAAAATAATGTATAAATATACTGGCAGAAGCCATAGTAGGCAGAAAAGGAAATACGTTCCTGGGAATTGCAGGGGGAGGAAAGTACACAGGACAGAGAAGGGCAGGGCTGTTGGTTCCTTCCTCCCGAGCCACCGGCTGCATCAGAAAGGGCCCCTCTGCTGTCTGTGGGCCCTTGTTTTCAGCAACACCTCATGCTGACATCTTCAGCAACAAAGCCTCGGACAAGTGAGATTAAAGTTCTTATTGTAGGTTTTGTCTTACTAGAAAACATGCCAGACTGAAAACTTCCCTCAAGTAAAGGGTTACCTGGGAGGCTGTGGTACCCTGCGATGGTTTGCAGCTATATTCCAACTTTGAGCTGAACCCGAGCACATGTAATGCACTTTGTCAGCAAGCCTGCAACAAGCCAATGCTGGGCAGCACCGCCTTCAGCCACAATGCCTGCGTTTAAGTCTTGACTCTGCTATTTATATTTACACTGTGTTGTCTTGCTTTATTTTCTGTAGGAGGAGATCAGTAGGGCTGTTCTGCCAATGTAACAATAACCGACCACCGCACTGCAAGTGTTTGTTCAGTAAAATGGAAGCTTTCATTTATGCTTTAAATTTACTGAACCTTCCTAGTTCCCTTGTCATACCAAAGACGAGAACCTTACCTGCATCATGTGCAGCAGCAGCAGGGCCTCTGACGTCGTCATAGGACTGCCCATCTGTGACAATGACCAAGAAGTTCTTGTTGGGGCTGTCCCTCACGGGCCCAAACACATTTCTGACAGTAAAGGAAATGGCATCACCGGTAGCCGTGCCACCGCTCATGTAGCGGATGTTTCTGATAACAGCTAGCACATTTTCTTTGGTGCTGTAGTCAGTGAAACTGAATTCTGTGCGCTGGTCGTAAGTGAACTGGACTGCAGCTATTTTGGCACCAATGTCCGAGATTTCAAAAGTCTTGGCTATGTTGGAGACAAACTCAAGCATGAGGCGGAAATTGCTTTCCCCGACGCTGCTGGAGCCATCAATGAGAAAAGCAATGTTCACGGAGTTATAGCAGGTCTTGCTGCACATCATCTGCTCGTGAGTGCAGAGCTTCTGCACCAGAGGCTTTACGTATTTGGTGGTGCCGAACCAGTTGGGCATGTGGTAAGAGAAGAAGCCATTGTTCCGACAGACAGCCTAATGGGGGAGACACAGAAGATTCCCAGAGGGCTCAAACGTCCTGTTGTGAAAAGTGTTAACAGTCTCAAACATCCAGAGCTAACAGGTATGGGCCAGCCAGCACGACTGGGAGGTCGGAAACCGAATGTCTGGCACCACACCAATGACAACCCCCACCACATTACCTTATCGACAAATGCGACATCCTGAACCATCCCCAGTTCTTCAGGGGTAGGTCTGGCCACAGAAACTATAAATACGTTGACACCAAACTCTCTGGCCACAATGCCTGCTTCTTCAATGTCATCAGAAGGCCAGCCGTCAATGAAGACCACCACCACTTTGGGGATTCCTTTCCTCACTCCAGTCTCTGGCGTGAAGAATTTCTGAGCAGTATGTTTCAGTGCTTTTCCTAGGTTTGAAGAAGGCAAATGTGTTCATCACTGCTCCAGTCACATTTCTCACTCCCCATAGCAACACGATGCCAGTTAAGTGGAACTGCCTGCACTGATGGTGACCCACATAACTTCCCCTTCCACCTCCCGGGAGCCTCACACCTCCCTACCTCCCATCAGTCACCGAGAAAGTCACTGAGCTGACTCCAGTATGTGTGCTCTTTGCAGCACGCTGACGACTGCTCAGAGTCCAAGTCTGAGAGGGTCAGGGGTGTTCTTTAATGCTTATGACCACATCTGCATTCATTAGGCAATTCATGCTCTCTGCGCTGCTGTTAAACTTCTCTAAAGTGTCATCTACCTATCTTAACAAGGATTATACAATCTGTCAACCCTTTGGTCTACTTTCCATTACACACTAAGTATCTCGGATGATCAAATGCAGGTATAGCCAAGATGTCTGCAGTTACTTGCTTATATAAGACTCTTATATAAGCCCAGCGATTAAGACTCACTGGGGTGGTGCACATCGTGTACTGGGAACCTAGGTGTGGCTTCTGGCTCAGCTTCCGATCCCAGCTTCCTGCTAACAGGCACCATGGGAGGCTGCAAGTTATGGCTCTGCCACCAACATAGGAGACCTGGATTAAGTTCCCAGCCCCTGGCTTTAGCTTGGCCAGTCCCAGCTGTTCTAGATACTTTAGAGGTAACCAGCAGGTGGGAGAATGTACTCGTATTTGCTTGTTTCTCCACCCCCGAGGAAATACATTAAAAAAAAAAAGTTATATAAAAGTAGTGTAATACTGCCTTACATGTTAATCATGGATAACCATCTCCAACATGACATGCGAAGTGTCAAAGTCTACTTACCTGTATTGGAATTACCGCCTCTGAAACCTACTTCCTTTATGGCAAACAAAACATCTTTGGCTGTTGTAAAGTTTTTCAAGTAAAATTCTATTTTAGGATGCTCACTAAGGAAAACAAACAGAATGTTACCCATGGTATATCGGAAAGGCGAACATGCTGCAGTGATTTTTAAATTTTTTAAGATTTTTAAAATTTTTTTATCGGAAAGCAGATATACAGAGAGGAGGAGAGACAGAGGAAGATCTTCCATTTGATGATTCACTCCCCAAATGACTGCACCTGCCAGAGCTGCACCGATCTGAGGCCAGGAGCCCAAAGTCCCTTATGGGTCTCCCACATGGATACAGGATTCCAAGGGTTTGGGCCATCCTTTACTGCTTTCCCAGGCCACAAGCAGGAGGTGGATGAGAAGTGGGACTGCCAGGACACAAATTGGCGCCCATATGGATCCTGGTGCATGCAAGGTGAGGACTTTAGTTGTTAGGCTACCACGCTGGGCCCTGCAGTGCTTTTTTTTTTTTAATGCTTGAACTTTTTTATGTTTAAAATTTTGGTCCAGTGGGTTAAGTTGCTGCCAGAGATATCCACATCCCATTTTGAATGCCTGGTTCAGGTCCTTGCTACTCTACTTCCCATTCAGCTTTTTGGTCATGTGAATCCTGGGAGGCAGCAGGTGGTGGCTCACGTATTTAAATCTACTCCACCGACACAGGAGATGAAGACGGAGTTCCTGGCTCCTGGCTCAGGTCTGACCCAGCCCCAGCTAATGTAGGCATTTAGGGAGTAAAGTGACTGAAGGGAGGTTACTCATCGTTCTTTCAAATAAATAGAAATAAGTAAAAACAAACATGTAAATAACATAGCGGTATCGTGATGTTTCAATACATGTATATATACTTTGAAAAGTCAAGTTTTCAATATCCAGCTTTGTTTCTTAATTCCTTGGCATATAGTCAATCAAAGCATTGTATTCTTTCCGATTTTAGTATTATGTGCTGCTGAAGTAAGCGCAAGGCATTGCATTCTTGTGCACTTGTTTCTTGGGGCTATTTTAGAAACATAACAATTGTTAAAATGTGGATTTAGTATATTGTGACTAATGCATTAAATGCATAGATCATGTATAATCCCATAACTTTATTAGATTATTTTTATTCCAGTAATAACTAAGAAACTGGGGCCCAGGTGATTGAGACCATGATGAAAAAGCAGTAGGATAATAAGAAACAATCATTCAAAGGATAGTTATGAAACATCCTTTTGGGTGAATAATTATGATTAGAAAATGGTCACAATACTAAGAGATAAAAAAAAAATAGGACAAAAGACATTTTTATAGCCTAGGCTTTTGGAAAGGACATACATAGTCAAATATTAAAATACTCAAACAACTGGAATGAAGGGATTGGCACTATGACATTATAGGCTAAGCTTCCACCTACGGAACCAGCATCCCATGTAGCTGATTCATGTCCCAGCTGCTGCCTTTTTTTTTTTAAGATTTATTTATTTTATTGGAAAGGCAGATGTATAGAGAAGGGGAGATGAAGAAAGATCTTCCGTCTGCTGGTTCACTTCCCAAGTGGCCACAATGGTTGGAGCTGAGCCAATCCAAAACCAGGAGCCAGGAGCTTCTTCAAGGTCTCCTATACAGGTGCTGGGTCCCAAGACTGGGCTGGGCTCTACTGCTTTCCACAAGAGGGAGCTGGATGGGAAGTGGAGCAGCCAGGACACAAATCCATACCTATATAGGATCCTGGTATATATAAGACAAGGATTTAGCCACTAGGCAATTGTGCCAGGCCTGCTCCTCCACTTTGATCCAGCTCCCTGCTTCTGGCCTGGGAAACAGCAGAGGATGGCCCAAGTCCTTGAGCCCTGCCCCCATGTGAGAGATCCAGAAAAACTCCTGGCTTCAGAGGCGTGGCTCCACCCTTGTGTCCATTTGCGTGAGTCAGCAGATGGAAGATGGATCTCTCTCTGTAAGTCTGTTCCAAAAATGAAAAAATTTGAAGTAAAAGATTTTACAGTGATTAGCTATAGGATGTATGTTTGGAAAATTTGCTTTCTTTGTATTTTTCAAGATTTCCATAACAAGCATATCGCAATTTGAAAAGCCGTCAGCGAATATTTTTTTTGTTAATTTTTTTTTTACATATATTTAAAAGCTCTGGGCCGTCCTCAACTGCTTTCCCAGGCCACAGGCAGGGAGCTGGATGGGAAGTGGAGCTGCTGGGATTAGAACCGGAGCCCATATGGGATCCCGGGTGTGCAAGACGAGAACCTTAACCACTACGCTATCGTGCCAGGCCCTTTTTTCCAGCAAATATTTTTAAATGAATAGAATTTGGAAAGAATTAAAAATCATGACAGAAGGGGAAGGACAGATATATCACTGCATCATTCTCTTTCTGTGAAGGGAACTTGGTAACCTAACGGAGTATCCGTGCTGAGATGACAGTGTCAACCATGGAATCCCTCCATCTACTTCCAGTCCTCCTTAGAGCTAGCAGAGAATTCTCTGAATCTTGTCACTCCAGAAGGAAAACCGTCTGGGCCCACTCATGCGGACTTCAACCCTGAATGCGTATCATAGGGATCCAGCTTACCAAAACTCAATATGGTTATGTTGTACTGAAACAAATGTACCTACTAAAAGGATGGTTAATTTACCATTCAAGGCATCACTCGAGTCTTCCCCCATTTCAACAAGGTGGGTACCTGGCTTGAACAAGGCCCACGTGTGGTCCTTCGGTCCCAATTCCCAACATCAGAGCCACTTTCCCAACAAAGTTCTTCTGCAGGTTAAATCGGCGCTGCCCAATATTAAAGCTTCCATCGATCAGGAATGCAATGTCAGCTTTGCAGTCTGGACACACAGAGGAGCCTTTTGTTAGGACTCGAGAGGAGAGAGGGGGCAGTGCCACCTTCTTGAATGGGTGTTTGGGTCCTTACCTTTATTACCCGTTTTCTTCTCTGGAGTTTTCTTTAGTCGTTTCCCTGAAACAATGGCAACACTTGGTGTGAGTCAAAGAGACAGTTTCCTTAGAGGGCAGCCCATGTCAGGAAAAGCTCTTGACAAGCAGTGTTATTTTTTAGGACTTGCGGAAGAAAAATTCATATTCTCATGGTTTTCTGGATGAGGGGAGCGTTGCTCCAATAATGAATCTTCTGAGGACTCTAATCAGTCCATATACTTGATATTTGCCTTTAATCCAGGGTTAACCCAGATCCACCACTGAGGCAAGTTCAGAAACTCAGTTATGCCTTAATGTTCTCCACTAATTTGGTTTTAGCACTTGCCAAGGGTTAGAACAGAGGACCCCTACCTGTCTCTTGCAAAGCCCCACGCAAGCTCCTTTTATTCGTGTTACAGTGAAGTAATGAAGGGAATGTAAGAAAGCAAATGGCATCAAAGAAGTCGCTAGACATGAGTTATGAAACAGGAGAAAGTGGATTTCAGGGGAGTGGCAGAGTTTATAATTAAAAATATTAAAAAGGCAATATAATGAAATAGGTGTGTATAATACACCAATAAACACATCTGCTTTCTTTCTCTTTAATATTGATACTCAAAAGGAAGGCTACGGGTAACGCATTTATCACTTCCTGTGCCAAGCAGCTGAGGAAGGTTCCCTATGTCATACCTGTTGCTGGGCGTGCTGTGGACACTGCTCGGCCCGTGGCTTCCTGGGCATTACTTTTGCCTTCTGTTAAAATAAATAGAAGCATATCTTTCCCTTTTCTACACCATCGAAATATTGTGAGTTTAATTCGGGATTCTACATGTTGATAAACCTAATACAGTAATGGTAACTACAGAGGCAAATATCAGATGGTTTGTTTTCAGTGAACCAAAAGGAATCCTTATCTTTCTATTTTTGACTAGTTTTTCAGTTTCGTGTCACTGGGTAAGTGTTCAGGAGTCCTGACGGCACACAGTTCAGGTTTCTGTTGCAATTATCTGCCTGCACAGCTGTTTGTCCCCCATTCACCCAAATTGGCCTGGATGAGTACTCGATCCCTCGGATCTCCCAATTCTAAACGGCAGCTGACCTCTTCTTGATCACAGGTTTTGCCATCAAAGAGGCTGGACTAAGGAAAGCAGACAACATTCTTGGAGGGAGGGAGGACAGTGTTTCTACGAACATGAGAACAATGTGATTGCACCTACTTGTCACTGTGAAGGAAGCAGACCATCGGGAAAGTGTCTGAGAGCGGACGCCATTGGCATCTGTGGAGGAGTAGTTTTCTCGGCCGGGAAGGCTATAGACTCGTACGGGTCCCCCTGCAGGGCTGATCACTCCCCTGCAACACAACGGTCACAGCTGCGGTGCCACGCACACTGTCAGGGCATCCCGCAGGCGAGGGGGACAGGACCGCGGCGTTCTGTCAGGAAGGCAGCTAAGGGACAGCTAAGCTTCTGCAGGGACAGGACCTGCCTGGGCAAGCGGCTCTGTGATGCTGCACTTCTCACTGTTGCTGAGAATACACAGGCAGCATCTATTCCAGGCAGCTCAGGGACCAGGGGTTTTTACACAATGTCTTGTGATGGTCTTCTGCTAAAATATATGCTAGTGACATTTGCCTTTGATGGCATGGGACTGGCTGACCACCGAGACCTGGGGTGAGGTATCTGGCAATCTCCGGGTTCACCTTCCTCGTCTGTAAAACTGTACCCATGTTGTAGAATGGCAGCAGAAGTTTAAAAAAAATGGCTGGCACATAGTAAAAAAAAAATCAGGGCCCGGCGCGGTGGCGCAGTGGTTAAGGTCCTCGCCTTGCACGCCAGGGATCCCATATGGGTGCCGGTTCTATCCCAGCAGCCCCACTTCCCTTCCAGCTCCCTGCCTGTGACCCGGGAAAGCAGTCAAGGATGGGCCAAAGCTTTGGGACCCTGCACCCGCGTGGGAGACCCAGAAGAGGCTCCTGGCTTCGGATCGGCATAGCATCGGCCGTTGTGCTCACTTGGGGAGTGAATCATTGGACAGAAGATCTTCCTCTCTGTCTCTCCTCTATGTATATCCGCCTTTCCAATACAAAAATAATAAAAATAAATCTTAAAAAAAAATCAGAGAAAAATGGCATTCACAGGAGGAAAAGCAGCTGGACTGTCAGAAGTCTTCCCTGGTGTATTTACTGTTTCAAGAATATCCAGGAAAACTTTTAAAATGAATCCCTCTTGTAAGGCCAGAGCTGGCAAGGGAAGGAGCAACGAGGAGGAAGGGGTTCCAAATGGCTGTGGTGGAAGGGGGGACCACAGTGTACGCCCTTCTCCCTGGGGCAGCCTTGGCCTCACCTGTGGATAGCTGCCCCACAGATGCTCGACACAGAAGCATAAACTATGTTCCCAAACACAGAGAATTCCTCCAGGGGGCAGCCCGCAGGACACAGCACGTCCACTTTCTCCTTCCTGATGTCCAAGCCCCGTGTAGAGCACGAGATTGCCACGGGAGCTGCAGAGAAAGCGGGGACGAGGGACAGAACACGCCATCTTCCCGCATCAGAAGAAACAGAGCCGGGTCGCCCTCCCCTGAATTCCACACCTCCACCAAGAGTAAGGGTTTCTGCGCTGTTCCATGCCATTCCAGGGCTGCACCAGCCAACGGATGGTTTTCCAATTGAAACTGGTCCCACAACCACTTTCAACGCCTTAATGGGAGAATTTTCCCAGGCCTGCCTTACTTCATCAGTTTGGAAATAAGTGCTTATAAGTCAATCAAGTCCAGGAAAAAAAAAAAGTAACAGCCGGTAGATATTTTACTGTCTCATCCCAGAAAGATACAAATCTCCACTATGACACTGAGCACACAGCCGTGCGTGGCGAGGATGGCAGCTCTGGCCTGAGCCTCGGGAGTCCATGTTCACCCACACATGCCCTTATCTGGCCACTCCACCCTTCTCTTCCAAGGACCATTATCCCAGTGAGGCTGTAAACACAGAACCCGAACACTTGTGAACGTAGGCAACCCGGTAAAACAACCCTGGTGTAGATCACAGAGATAGATGCTCCAATTCAGTCCCTCCGTTTTACAGATGAGGAAATGAAAGCCGTGGAGTAAACTTGGCAGAGAAACATTGTGCGACTCCCCAGTGGCAGGAATCTGGGGAAGGCAGGGCCCTCCAGAGAGGAGCATTTTCATCTTCCTTAAACCTGATCATCTCTGTGCCAAATGTGCCCCCAAACGCACATCCAGCAGCGCAAGCATTTTGAGAAAGCACAGATAGTTTTTTCCAAGTCTCCAGTCAGCCTGCCCAGTAAAGAATCAAACTAGGACAAAGATAAGCTGTTGGCCACGGGCAGAACGAGCTGGGGGCCAGCACAGCAGGTCCCTCTGTCACAGTCCTGTGGCTATTAAACTGAACAAAGGCCATTAAGTTCCACTTCCCAAACACAGGAAACTCTGGCCACCCAGACCTTGTCCAGACAGATGCTTCCAACAAACTCCTCACTTTGCTCCAAGACGGGGGGGACGCTGTCTGGCCACACTGCCCCCTGATATGTGACAAGCTGGACCCTGCCTGGGCAGGTCCCTGGTGGGAGGGGGTGGTGGAGGGAGAGGGTGCCACGTACTGTGTCTGGTCTTTGGCTCTGAAACCCTCTGTCAGCTGGGAAATGTACAATCCTGATTCCCACACTGGCCTCACACCTGCTACCCATGTGCCTCCACTGGTGGCAGAGGTGGCCCCTCCAGGTACACCACCTGCTTCTCCCTGCACAGCGTGAGAAGTGCACTCAGCCGCAGCACTTACCCCTGTCCCACAACCCAGGAAAACGATGGCTTTAACACAAGAATTTGCGTCTTACCTTACAGAAAACACACCGAACCACACACCCGCAAGCGGACACGTGGAACAAACTCGTTTTGAGACTTTCCCACAGGGCCAACTGGCACGGAGACGGCGGCTTTTAAATCAGGGGTTACATCTGGGAACACAGCTAGCGTGCCCACCAAGGTGAGCCGAACGCGCGAACCTCGCCCCTTCCCGGGAGACCAATAGCTCCAGTTCCGTTCTGCAAAGCTTCTCCTCGACCCCTGGGCGCAGCGGCACCGGATGGTGCGTGCACACGGGGTAAGCGCGCTTCGAGTCTCGCCAGTGTCGCCCGAGTCCCAGCCGGGAATGCCCGGTGTGCGAAGCGGGGAAGCCACAATGCTCCCCGCTCCGCAGCCTCCAGCTCTGGGACCCCCGGCCAGGGTTCAGGGGGCCTGATGGCAACTGCCCCGACCCCAGGAACCGCGCGACTCACCGGTTCCCTCGCTGTCCGCGGGCTTCGGCAGCGGCAGCAGCACACACACACCTGCCAAGAGAGGGAGAGCGAGCGCTGGCGGCAGCTCCACCGGGCTGTGCGCGAGGGGAAGGGGCGCCTAGGACGTCTACCCACCGAGGCAGAGAGCCGGGAGCCAGGCTGCAGACATGGTGGGAGAGCAGCGGTGCGGACCTGGGAGAGAGCGAGAAGGTGCGGGAGGCTGGGATTGCGGGGAGCCGAGGCCCCGCAATGCCCACCGCAGGCGCCTGCCTGCCCGCCCCTCCTCCGAGGTCCCGCAGCCCTCACAAGCCCACGGGCGGCCGAGGGGAGGGAAGGACGAGAAGCTGCAGCCGCGGCTTTGGGGCTGATACCCCTTGAGATGTTGGAAAGCTGCGTCCCGGCTGCAAACCTGGGACCGCACAGAGAGAGAGAGAGAGAGACAGAGAGACAGAGAGAGAGAGAGAGAGAGAGAGAGAGAGAGAGAGAGACAGACGGCGCGCCCGTCCCAAGGCGGACAGACAACCCCGGAGCGAGTGACCAAGGGCCACCAGGCACGAACAGGCAGGCTCCGGGGTGTTGCGCGCCCGTGCCCGCGGCCGGAGCTCCACACCTGCGTGGGATGCGCACGGCTGCGCCCGAGTGCCGCCAGCGCTGCTCCCGGGGCCGCTATAAAGGCCGGGCGGCGCGCATGAGCACTGCGCGGGGGGCGCGGGGGGCGCGGGGAGCCGGGGGCCCCGGGCCTGGCGGCGCCGGCCGCCCCTCCCCCGCGCACTGCCCACCCGGGGGAGGCCGGCGCGCAGGCGCCACCCCCGCGGCGCGCCCCGGCCACCTGCGCGGGGAGGCACGGCGGGCTCGGGCAGCGCCCGGCGTCGGAGCGAGCGAGCGTGGGAGGCCCGGGGAGAGGAGCGGCTAGGCGCCCGCGCGTGGGGCGTGGCGGCCCCCTCGAGCGGTCCCGCGGCGTCCCAGGGAGGGGAGAGCCGCGGTTACCTGTCCGTGCGCCGGTGCCGTGTGAGTTGGAGGCCCTGGCGTGGGTTGCGATGACACCGAAGCTCACGTCCTGGGCTATGGCAACGGGACGGGAGGACAACTCAAGGGGGCAATGTGACGGACCAGCAGGCTACTGCGGGACCACCTCAGGGCCCTGAAAACTCCGAGGTTAGTCCTGGGGCTGTACCACCTTCCCCTGACTTTGTTGAATCATAACCTCTGTGCCATAAAGCCTACCCATTTTCAGTATACAGTTCAGCAATTTCTCAGTACATTTACGGAGGCGTTGAACCATCACCACAGTCCGATTTTAGAGCCTTTCCCAGCCCCAGTGCGAAGTTACCAGCTCATCCACTACGGCTTGTCTCTCTGGCCGTGGTTTCCACGGGCAGCTCCTGCGAGTGGATGGGGCCGCGTTTACCGCGTGTGTTGTGGGGCACAGTCCTGTTGTAGTGTGTTAGAGCACTGGTCTGCTTTTGATGGCTGAGTAGTATTCCGACTGCGTGGCGATAACTTTTAAATCTGTTCATTTGCGAGACAGAGAAACACACAGCTTGCGTCCAGTGGCTCACTCCCTAGGCTGGAAACTGGGAACCTGATGGAGGTCTCTCCCGCGGGAGTGGCAGGAGCCATTAGCACTGCCTCTTGGGTCCCTGTCAGCTGGAAGCTGGAGTTGGAGGTGGCCGGGGTCCTGGGCATCCTCACCCTCAGGCCACATGCCTGCCCTGCTCTCTGGTTCCGTCTTGAGGAACAAGCTGACCAGCATCACCTGCGAGCCAGAGCGTGCGGACCTCGTGACCGTCTCTCCCCCATTGGAATCACGGGGCTTGCTGGGAGCAGTGGGGCTTGTTGATTCACTTGCCGGCACAAACCCTCCACAGTGTCTTAAGGAGACACTGGAGGCGCTGGAAGCATATTTTTGCAACAGTTTAAAGGATTTGATCTTTTCATGATAGTTAACCCTTTTCTTAGAAATCTACTAATTGAACCACTGCCCTGAACGTGTTCCGTGAGAGCAAGCTCAATCCAGGAGGCGATTAACACTGTCTTCTCCTAACCCTGATGGAAGACTCCTTAACAGTGTCTTCCATCAGGGTTAGAAAACCTCCTGCAACTGGGTGCAGGGGCCTGATGCCCTTCAAGTAGCAAGAGTTCCCGTTCTGGAAGCAAGTCACCCCTCCGCTGCCCAGCAGGCAGGTACCCAGCGGGCCAGCAGGGCTGGGCCAACCCTCCCCTCTGATACGACTTCACCCAGTGCTTTGGCGTGGTAGACCCGAGTCTGTGACCATTTAAAAAGAAAGGAAATACCTCATTGAGTTCCATAGTTGTTTACCCCAAGATTCATTTTAATTATTTTGTTTTGAAGCATTTGAGGGAAGTTAGTCATGATTTGACTTTTATTTTTGGAGAGGCTGACCGAGGACGGTTGGAGGAGTGAGGGTGAGATTTTTTCATTCCTAGTTTATACCTGCCCTCACCATAAATACATAACGGGAAGAATATTATTCCTGAAGGGAAGAGGCAATCGATCCAGCTGTTTTGGAACTATCTGGAGAAGCAAGCCAAATCTGGGTACATGTGACTTCACAAAATGAATTGTTGGGGCCAGTGTGTGGCACAGTGAGTTAAGCTGCTGCCATAAGGCTGCCATCCTATTTCGGGATGCTGATTCTAGACCTGACTGCTCTGCATGGGATCCAGCTCCCTGCTAATGCACCCGACAAAACAGCAGAGGACAGTGCAAGTGCTTGGGTCCCTGCACCCATGAGGGATACCTGTTGGAGTTCCTGGTTCCTGCCTTCAGCCCGTTGCAGCCATTTAGAGGGGTGAACCAATGCATGGAACATTCTCTCCCTCCCTCCCTTTCAAATAGTAATGCATACTTTTTTTTTTGATAGCGAGTTGTTAAAATAATGATTTTGCATATAGTTGGATGACACTTCAGGGTATTGTATTGCTCACACACCTGATTAGTTTGTCTTAATTGAGTGTTTCCGCAGCTGTAGGCAACTGCCTAGATTGCATTGTACCTAGGCAGGTGTTAACACTGCTGGGAGAAAAGCAGCCACTAGCTGGTGGGCTTTCTTGGCCTGGTTAATGTGTTTACCAGTCTGCCAGCATATTTGCTTACTTTTTTCCTTCTTTTTTAAAGCTATGAGGGGAAGGCAGGGAGTGCAGAGCAGCCCCCAGGGTGTGGGGGAGCTGCAGATTGCCTTGGGAAGGGGGTCTGGGGAGGCATTGGAGTGGGCATGGTATGTTTGACAGGGAGGGAATGACTTCTGGAGGGCTTCCACGGACTGGACCACTGCACTTGAAGGTAGGAGAGGGAGATGAGACGGAGAGATTTAGAGGTTGGGGAACGAGAGGGCATGTGTGGGTCAGGCCAAGGCACTACACACATGTGAGCCCTGCTGCTTGCTGGCACACACAAAAGCTGGAGTGTGGGGGCATGTTTGGCTGGGTTAGGCCATAGTACCCACCTGTGGGTGTTAGAGCAAGGGATGGACCAGATCACGTTGGGCTGTAGCTCTCACCAAAACATAAGAGAATCCGATTTGGGGGAAGATACTGTAGGGATTTGTGGGCTCACCTGTGTGGGAGTTGGCATGAAGAGCTAGGGTTGGTGATGGCCCAAGTAGGGTTGGACCACAGAACTTAACCTGGCTGGAACTGGGTCTGTGGATACACTAAGGCGGACTTTGTCAACCAGTAGACCTTGGAAAGATTTTTTCAACCCTGGAACAATGAAATTGACAAGTTCTTGGAAACATCAAAACCTTATAACACCTTGGAACATTCTTCCCCATATTGGGGTCTCTAAGGCGTCATCAAATACCTGTCTCCCATCCCCAGGGTGCTAATGCAGTTTGACAGCAACAAGAGGCCCCTGCCCCTCTTCCCCTTTTCCCCTGTGGACACAAGAAAGAGAGAAAACAAAAACGGAAACATTTGTCCACTTAGCTTCCTCCATACCCTGACCCTCCCCACCCTAATCAGAGGCCCACATAGGAGTGCATCCCTCTCAAGTATTTACACAATGTTAAAAATAAAATAAGACATTTTGAAAATGAGTATTTGATAGTCAATATTTAAAGCAGCTGCCTCTGTGCAGGACAGTGTTGCCAGGGCTGTGAGCTGGACTTACCTAGAGAGCCTTTGAACGTGCTGATGCTTGGGCCACCCCCGAGAGGAAGAGTGGGGCTGCAGTGGGGCCGGGGATGCATGTGCGTAGCCCGGGATATGTTCTTCCTAGAATAGTGTTGGGGGTCAGGCCAACTGATCTCATTTCCGTCCTTGCGCAGATCCCACCTCCAGCGCGTTTGCTGATGAGACACAGAAGCGTGCTGATTGACGAAGAGAAATCCCCAGCAGAGGGCCGGGCGGGTGAGTCTCCTGCCCGTTCTCCTCAGCGGAGTGTGCTGCCTCCTCACAGTGCTAACTCAGCAGTGTGCAGGGAGTCGAGGGTTTGGCACGGGGTGTGTTTGTGTGCTGTGGGCCTGGGGCACATGTTGCAGCTCAGATCTCTGGAAGAGCCCCCCACCCACCCCAGCACCCCAACCGAAGGCTGTCCGACCCTCACTGGCATGGATAAGCTTGCCATGTACTGGCTCCCTGTCCTCTGTCGGTCCCTAATATCAACTCGGTGCACTCCTAACCTTTCCCTGATGTTTTGTCGTTGGTCTTACACGCTTTTGAAAGAAGTCAATCCTATATCAATTCTTACAGCCTTTCATCTCCCCCTTTAAAATGTTCCTTGGCCAGTGCTCTACGAGGAAACTTGATTTTTATAATGACTTCAGAATGAATTTGTTCACCCTTGGGAAGTATCCTGTGATGGATTCCAGAGCAGAGGCAGCTGGGGAACTCTGTCACTGGTGTTATGGAACACACGTTGATGTTGACCTAGCGTCCCTGAGTTTTTTCCATTGTTCACATCTTACACTAAGCAAATATATGCATCTAATGTTGTAGTTTTGTTGATGGCTGGCAGCATAGTACATGTCCACTGGGTCAGGCATTGCCCCGTGGCTGCTGGGCCTCACTTTCCTCTCTGCTGAAGTGAAATGGATTGGAGTTAGACCCAGTCATTGGAAGCAACTCTCCTCTGGCCGCCATCTGTGGCTGGGCAAAGGCCACGGGGGCATAGCTGGGCTCCAGGAGCTGTGCTGCTGCTGCTGTGTCCCAGGTTTGGAAGGTTAGGAGACACTGCCTAGCCGCTGGAGCGTGGCTTTCCCAGAACCCATCCAGCCATCCTTTCTGATGCCAAGTCTTTGTTCACCTCTCCTTGTTGGACTATGGCTTGGATCATGTTTGCCCTTTAGTTAAGTTACATCCAAGTTCCCACATTATATTTAGGCATCAGGTCTCCCAGAGCTGTCTTGGCTGTGACACTTTCTCAGATTTCACAACTTTGATGAATTGGACAGTCTTGAGGAATACTAGTTTGTTGTTCTGTGGAATGTTCTTGAATTGGAATTTGGTATTTATTAGTCTGGGGTTACTATGTTTTGGGAGAAAGACCACAGAGGTGGGGGGAATTTCATCGTGCCATATTGAGGCTATGCTCACCGCTGTCGTGTTGACCCTGGACACTTGGCCGACACAGTGGTTATGGGGCTTCTCCTCTGGGCAGCTGCCCGTCTGCTCTGC